TTATCGCATTTTTATTACACTTTCTAAAATCCTCTGCCTTTTTAAAATTCTGCTAACTTTCTCTGAAATTCTCAGCTTATGATTAATAATTTCCCTCTGAATTTTTATAGAAGAAACACACAAGGTGTAATGGTGTACAACGCGGCCCCGATAAATTGCACGTGGGGCGAGCTGATTAAAAAAGGTCGGCGGGGCAATCGGAAGTTTGCATACCCGACGTTCGGCATCCGTGGGATGACGTCTATGATAACGCTGTATTGGACTGTGGTGCTGCTTCTCGAATGGTTGCCATCCGCACTCTGCGACACGGTTCTTGGACTGGTAGGAGCGAAGAAAAGGTATAACGAGCTGGAAATTTACGATATCCCCGATTTTCATCCGATTTCGCGCAGTCGAACCGGCGACTACTTCGAGAGACTTTCGTTATCGCTTTCGGAATCCAGGCTTGCGCGCCAAGGGACGATAGAATGCTAACGATAAGCTGGAAATCTACGATTTCACTGACCTCGACGTTTATCCTTCGCGTACGGCCGGTCACGGAAGTATTCGAACATTCGCCACCGAAAGAACTTTTGTAAATATTTCAGTAGGTTCAGATACGTAAAGTACATTTTCGAAAACGAAACTTTTTTGATCCGATTTTTGTCTCTGATTTTATCATCGACAACAGTGTACAGTAATTAATTACACACACTCCTGCTCAAAGGTATATAATAGAACACTTTTATCTTTAATACTCAATCAGTACTTGTCGTGGAACAGAATTTCGTTTATCCTCGTTTATAGTTAATGGTGAGCTTCAGATATACGAAGCCATAGTTGATCTACTTTGTTATCTGTATTTATTATCTTAGTATCCAAACAAATGAGAGTAGAGGAAAAGTAAATCTTTATTATAGGAAATTCTCCATTATCTTTCGACGTGTTCTGTTGTATTTCTTTCTCTCCATTATGCGCACATTTTATAATGTTTCATGTGGGTTTTCAATTGTCAAGAGCTTGTAGTCAAACATAAATTGTCAGAGTCATTTGTCAGGAATTTTCGATCAGAATCAATTGTCCAGAATTCTCAATTAGAGCCAGTTGTCAGATATTTTCAATTAGAGTTGATCGTGAAGAGATTCCAATTAGACTCAGTTGTCAAGAACTTTC